CCCTGTGCAGCCCACCCTCTTGGTCTCCAAAGCAGTAGTGACTGATGTCTTCTCTCAAGGATCACAGCCCTTTTCTAGCTCAGCTGCAGTTTCTAAGATATGGCCGGAAGTGCTATTTGATCTAACTGGCTACAGTGGCCCCCCAGTGTCTTAAAGTTTACATAACTGTCATAGTCAATTATGTAATTAGAGGAATTTAAATAATTCAGGTTTCCAGTTTCTCTTCAGCCGATCAGAGGGTGTGACCACAGCAGGCACGTGCCCCTGGAGTAACAGTAAACTGGAGGTGGCCATGGAGACATTTGCTTAGGCTTCTGGTCTCTTTGGTTGGCAACAGTTTCCATTTGGTCCACTTTTGACATGACCTGCAGGTCTCAAGACAGATTGAAACTGGCAATTTCTGGGCCGATTTAAATTTGATGGCAGGGCCTCCCTGGTGGCACAGGCAGTTGAGCGCAGCGCTGTGAAACTGTCTGCAGCCTCTGCAGTGCCGGTTCGATCCCCGCCAGCCTCAGAGCAAACCACATGGCACAGCAGACCTCTCCTGTCTTGCTCGCTGTTTCCCTCGGCAGTGTATTTCATTAGTCTGCCTGTTCTGTTCCCCGCTCTGTCTCTGGTGAATCCTCTCACCCTCCCGTGCATCTGGCCTGTACCCTGGTTCTTGTATAAATAAAATAAATCTTTAAAAAAAAATAAATTTGATGGCAACCTGTGTGCTTGCTGTACTAAACACATCTATGTAACACCTCGGATTCACTCATCTCCTGTTTCCCAAAGCTTAGGCTGCCCTTCAGCTGCCCTTGGTGCACACCTGCCACCCAAAACCAATCATCTGGACTCACTGGAATCACACACTTCTTTTTTTTAAAATATTTTATTTTATATAATACTTACATCATTTTTCATCTTTGTACAATGTATGCATTTTCATTTTGGTTATATTCCCCATGCAATTGCACCGCCCCCCTCCCAATCACACACTTCTTTCCAAGTGTCTGGCAAAGAGGCTGGACAGTGCAATCCAGAAGGCAGGGGGGTTCACTCCCCCCCCCCTCCACCCTGGAGAAATGTAGTGCAATGAGATAGGGGAGGAAAAGAAGCAGTGAGTGTCCTTTCCTTCCTGGCTCAGATGAACTGTCTCCAGGGGTGGTTACTCTGTGTATCCTGCCTGAGACTTTCCACATGGTCTGGTGGCTGCACCTGCAGAGAAATTGGTCTCTGTCTTCAGGGATATGGGGAAGCAGTGGCCAGCAGGGTAGCAGGTTGTTTTGACTTGCTTTTCATCTCTCTTTGCTTCACTTGTCTCCCTCTTACTGTCATGGATCATGTCTCTCAAGTGTTAGCAATTACTTCTTGCCTTGGTTCTGTTTTCTCCGGAGCACCAGATCAACAAGATGAAATGGCCCTGCAGCTCACCATTTCCTATACTTATTTTAGGCTTTCTCCAACTTAGAGGGCCCCCCCCACATTTTTTTTTATTTATTTATTGAAGTAACACTGGTTTTTTTTTTTTAAGATTTATTTTTTATTTATACAAGTGCTAGGGTACAGTCCAGATGTGCGGGAGGGTGCGAGGATTCACCAGAGACAGAGTGGGGAGCAGAACAGGCAGATTGATGAAACACACTGCTGAGGGGAGCAGTGGGCAAGACAGGAGAGGTCTGCCCCGCCATGTGGGATTCTCGCCAGCTGGCCGGGATCGAACCTGCACTGCAGAGGCTGTGGACAGCTTCACAGCGCAGCACTCAACCACCTGCACCACCAGAGAGGCCCAGTAACACTGGTTTACAGTGAGCTCAGAGGCTCACACCTCTTCAGATGCATGTGACCACACATTGCCCAGCACTAAGGCGCCCTTGGCCCCCTACCATCAACTTGGAATTTGGGAAATGTCCTCTTAGACTTTGCTCCCAGGACTACAGATCACAACTCAATCCCAGCTCAACACCCGGTGCAATGCCTCTTTCTTAGTGAATGATCACTGAAGGAAATGTCTGATGTAAGACATTTATCTTTCCCTGTACTCTGGCTCCTGTTGTAACATGCTTTAACCAGGCCCTTGTCTTTCTTATGGAGATCACTTGTTGGGCCGAGGGGGCTGGAAGTGTGGGGTGGGGTAGGGGTAGGGGTGGGGGTGGGTCTCCTATACTGATTTTTTTTGACTAACAGCCCCTTCACTTTCTTCCCCAACTGAATCTTCATGTGTTGCTCTCTCTGGCAGGAAACTTTTCTTTTTTGCCTCCAGTCTCCTTCTATTTCATCTTTTCAGACCCTCTACTGGAGCCAAGCATGGCCTCTTACAAATAGTGTTTTGCGACTCACCCTCAGACTAGATTACTGCATAGATTGAATGTTTGTGCTCCCCTGCTCCCTATTCATAGGCTGAAGTCTAATCCCCAATGTGATGGTATTTGGAGGTGCAGGTCTTTGGGGGAGATTAGGTTATGAGTTCAGGGTCCTTATAAATGGAATTAGTGTCCTTATAACAGAAGTGTCAGAGCCTTCTTGCCCTCTCTGCCATGTGAGGACACAGTGAGGAGGTGGCCATCTAAGACCCAGACACCAAATCTGCCAGGGTCTCAATCTTGGACTTCCTAGCCTCCAGAACTGAGAAATAAACTTCTTTGTTTATCAGTCACCCAGTCTATGGCACTTCTATTAAAGCAGCTTGAATGAATTAAGATAGTTACCCTCTTCGGAGGCCACATGGTAGCCTGTCCACATCTCTATTGCAGCTCTAATGGTAGTAATAGGAAGTGTTCTCAAGACTTAATTTCCTGAGGCAAGAACTGATATCTTTTCTCAATACAGTGCCTGGCACACAATCAGAGCTCAATATAAGATTATATCTATGTGTGTATATATATATATGCATATATATATAATACATATATATATAAAAGATTTATTTATTTATGCATATAAGAACCAGGGTACAGGCCAGAGGGAGTGGGGAGAGGATTCACCAGAGACAGTGGGGAGCAGAGCAGGCAGATCTACTGAAATACACTGCTGAGGGGAGCAACGGGCGAGATAGGAGAGGTCTGCTGCGCCATGTGGGTAGCTCCCTGGCAGGGAATCGAACTTGTGTTTCAGTGGCTGCGGTTAGTTTCATAGTGCCGCATCTTAACCCCTGTGCCACCAGGGAGGCCCCAGTATAGGATTATACATTAACAACAAACAAGGATGCCTTATCTCCTCTATTCAATGGGAAGTTCCTTGGAGTCAAGAATGTATGATCCAGCTTGCATTGCAGTGCTAAGGACAAGAACTGGGTGTTGATGGAATGAATAACTTCACAATAGAAAAGAGAACGTTAAAGTCACACTGACTCCTTTACTCTCAGACATACTCAGAGACATAACTCTAATAAGATGAAAAGCCCCATCAGCAGGGGTCAGCCATATTAGACATATTAATTTCACTTCCTTTTTACAAAACTGTGTTGAGTTATACAGCTTTTTTTTTTTAAGATTTATTTATTTTTATACAAGAGCTGGGGTACAGGCCAGATGCACAGGAGGGCGAGAGGATTCACCAGAGACGGAGTGGGGGACAGAACAGGTAGACGATAGAAATACACTGCTGATGGGAGCAGCGGGCGACAGGAGAGGTCTGTTGCGCCATGTGGGATTCTCGCAGGCAGGCCAGGATGGAAACCACAATGTTGAGGCTGCGGACAGCTTCACAGCGCGGCACTCAACCCGCTGCATCACCGGGGAGGCCCAACTGTGTTGAGTTATAATGAAAAGCAATGGTTCCATTCCCTTCCGTCTGCCCAACGACAACCTTGCCCCTCAAAGGTAATTACACTTAACTTTTGCCGTCCCCACTATATCCCCTGCCACAGTTGCCTGCGCTTAGTCTCTTGTACCCTTCATGTCTACTCCTCCAGAACCGTATTGTGCAGGGGCTGGTGTATTTGAACACTGTCAGCAGTGACCTTACAACATAGATATTGAAAGATTGATGGGCAAGTGAGCCTGATGTATGCAACCTACTCTCAAGTGATTTTTAAAAGTCCTGAAATGGGATTGTGAGAAAGGAAAAATAGCACAATGTCGGTAATTTTTGCATTTGGATGCAAAGGGTGTATAGGAGCTCTTTGTACCATCCTAACAACTTTGCTGGAAATCATTTCAAAATAAAAATTTAAACAAATTTTAAAGTGCTTTTAACATTTCATTGCTACCTTTTTTTTTTCTTAAAGATTTATTTATTTATGCATACAAGAGCTGGGGTACAGGCCAAGGTGTAGGGGGTGAGAGGATTCACCAGAGACAGAGCGGGGAACAGAACAGGCAGATTGACCGAAATACACCGCTGAGGGGAGCAGCGGGCGAGTCAGGAGAGGTCTGCGCGCCATGTGGGTAGCTCCCTGGCCAGGGATCGCACTCATGCTGCAGTGGCTGTGGACAGCTTCATACGCTGCGACTTAACCCCTTGTGCCACCAGGGAGGCCCTCATTGCTATCTTTTGAAGAAACATACCAGTTTCTTGAGCATATTCTTTGGAGCGGACTCACAGTCACAAGGCAGTGCATCTTCAACCGACATCTAAAAGAATTTTATTTAAGCGCTGTCTTTCCCACTGCAACGTAATGCCCTTGACAGCAATGCCCTTGACAGCGCTCGCCAAGGGCAGGCTAAGGACTCACAGCATCAGCAAGACCAGGGCGCAGGTGAAAGGCAAATCCCCAAACTTGCACTAGTTGAATCAGAAGCTCTAGGGCCACGCCCAGGAATCTACGTTTTCACGAGTCCTCCAAGTGACCATAAAGTTTAACTAGGCTCGTCTATCATCCATTAGGGCCGCGTCCGGCCTGTAAACTGCGGTCTCCAAAGGAAACCACCCCGGAGTCGGGCCCCAGTGCGCACGAGCCCGCGGGCCAGGCGCCCTCCCCGCGCGGGCAGCTGCGCCCAGACCCCAGCGGGGTGCAGAGGGGCGGAGGCCAGGGCGGGCCAGAGGCCGGTGTCTCCGCCTCCTAAGCCTCCGGCCCGCCGCGTCGCGCGCCCTCCTCCAGCCTCCCTCCCTGCTCCTGCCCTAGCTTCCCGCCCCGCTTCCTTCCGCCGGGCGCGATGGAGCCGGGGCGCCGGGGGGCCGCGGCGCTGCTGGCGCTGCTGTGCGCGGGGTGCGCGCTGCGCCCCGGCCGAGCCCAGTACGAGCGCTACAGCTTCCGCAGCTTCCCGCGGGACGAGCTGATGCCGCTGGAGTCGGCCTACCGGCACGCGCTGGACCAGTACAGCGGCGAGCACTGGGCGGAGAGCGTGGGCTACCTGGAGATCAGCCTGCGGCTGCACCGGCTGCTGCGCGACAGCGAGGCCTTCTGCCACCGCAACTGCAGCACCGCGCCCCAGCCCGAGCCCGCCGCCGCCCCCCTCGGCCGCTACCCCGAGCTGCGCCTCTTCGGGGGCCTGCTGCGCCGCGCGCAGTGCCTCAAGCGCTGCAAGCAGGGCCTGCCGGCCTTCCGCCAGTCGCAGCCCAGCCGAGAGGTGCTGGCCGACTTCCAGCGCCGCGAGCCCTACAAGTTCCTGCAGTTCGCCTACTTCAAGGCAAGTCGGCCGCGCCCCAACACCTGCCCCGCCCCGCCCCGGGGCGCCCCGACGCCCAGTCCCATCGTGGGCCGCAGGACCAGGCATTCTCCTGCCCGGCCCTAGCCGAGGACGCCTCCAAAACCTGCGCCCCGACCCCCTGCGCCTAAACTAGAGATAAAGTTACCTCTCTTGGAAGGCGGCCCCGAGACGTAGGACAGAGACTAGGTCCCTAGAACGTCTCGCACTGTTTGGGACCCAGCAAAGTGTCCGATAGCTGTTATCTGTTATTATTTTTTTATTTTTTAATTTTAGTTTTTAAAGATTTATCCATTCCTGCATACAAGAGCTGGGGTACAGGCCAGAGGTGTGGGGGATGAGAGGATTTACCAGAGACAGAGTGAGGAACAGAACAGGCAGATTGATTGAAGGGCACTGCTGCGGGGAGCAGCAGGCGAGGCAGGAGAGGTCTGCTGTGCCATGTGGGTAGCTCCCTGGCAAGGCCGGGGAATCAAACTCGTGCTGTGGTGGCTGCGGACTGCTTCATAGGTTGCGTCTTAACGCCTTGCGCCACCAGGGAGGCCCTGTTATCTGTTATTTGAAGACAGACTCCTCTTTATTTTTTTTTTAAAGATTTATTTATGTATGCATATAAGAGCTGGGGTACAGGCCAGAGATAGGGGGTGTGTGTGAGAGGACTTACCAGAGAGCTGGGGACAGAACAGGCAGACTGACTGAAACACACTGCTGAGGGGAGCAGCGGGTGCGGGTGTGTCAGGAGAGGTCTGCTTTGCCATGTGGTTTCTCCCTGGCCTACCGGGGATCGAACTGGTGCTGCAGAGGTTGCGGGTTGCTTCATAGTGAGGTGCTCAACCCCTTGCGCCACCAGGGAGGCCCAGACTCCTCTTTATCTTATAGAGCTTTACAGCCCCTGTGTCTCAAGTGAGAGGGTGCTTTCAATAATCACGCGGAAGAGGAATCGAGGGGTTGGCTAGTCCCTTTTTTTGAGGAGGAAATTGAGGCCAGGAAAGGGCAGGGACCCCTTCCCTGTCCCGGGGAGCAGACCGCGAGCCCTGGGATGTGTCCACATTGGCGCTGTCCGCTGCATTTTCTAAAATATAACACAGTTGCTCTCTTTTTTGTGGCTGCTTGCATCCTGCCTGTGATTGCTGGCTAAAAATAGCCACAAATTGCCCTTCTCTCTACTCTGAGTCCTTACCCTTAGTGGGTTTAAGAATGGGCTGGATTCTCTAGTTCTGAATAAAGAGGCTTTAACTTGATGATTTCACCAGGTTTTGCTAAGAGAACCCTCTCAAAGCCCAGTTTCTATTGTGATTTCATTGAAAACGATTTTTAAATGAATATTACATTCCTTTTAATGACCACAAAACTAGTTTGATGTTATATCCCAGACTCCAGAAGTAGAAAAAACCGTTGGATTTTTCTTTTTCGACTATGCTTTGAGTCTTTGCAAGATCTGTTTTTCATATTTCCACTGAAACAGCCACGTGTATGTTGCCTACGCAGGAGCGAAACAGTCCAAACCCCAAATAAAAGAAGAGCTGGGTTGTTTGTATGCCTAGTTACAGTTTTATAGAAAGTACCAGATTCATAGATATCTGCCCTGGCAATAAAATAGCAGTTTTAAAACTAGGTAGGGGTAAAATTAATAAAGTTCCAGGACAATGAAAAATGACAGCTGGCTCATATAAGCACTATTTTTAAACTAAAAATGACTTAATTCTCTCTCTTTTTGTATAGCTCTTGGCAAATACAGTCTAAGCCAAACTTAAGTCACATAATCAAGGGGGAAGTGTTTTATTTTTAAGCCTGGAGCATAGAAGTTGGGATTTCTTTAATATCCAGGTGAATTTGAAACAAATGATGTGGGGGATGAGGCAGAACGTTTGCCTGGAGGTGACCATAAGGCATAGGCATAGCTTTCCCTGTATCCAAAGTTAGGAAGTTCAAGGTTCCCCTTCAAAATCCTTTTTATGTCCTGTAACTATCACTTACTTACAAGTCAGTAAAATACCACCTGCCAGTATTTTGAGAGCTCTCGTGTGGCAGGAAAAGGTTGAACGTTTTATTAATCAACCAAAATCTACACTTAATTGCTTCAACTGGCAATTGCTGAAAAAGTGATTTTAGGTGGTGTTTATATTATTTATTATTTTTTCCTAAATGATGTTTATATTTTCAAACTCAATTTCTGGGTCGAGAGAAAATGGTTGGTGGTGGGTTCCTCCCTTCTACCTGGCACCTGCTGGAGCTGGAATGTGCTGCTTGCTCTAGCAGGTGGTGGGTAGATGGTACTGTGTTCTGGTTTGCAGGCCTCTCGCAGTGGTTCAGGACAAAGGCCTGAGTTAAACGCAGGAGAAGGGGTGGTGGGCTCAGACTATCAGAGTCAGACAAGGTGGCTTGGATGTTTCATCTTGTAGAAAAAGGGCCATACTCCTGTGTGCAGCTCTCAAGCTCCCCAGAGGTTTCATGTCACTGGCTGGGGGTTCTCTCCACGGTGGCCATCTTCCCTGAAATGCTTGTCTTCCCCCACAGGCAAGGGGAAAAGTGGGCACTTTATCAATTCCTTAGTGACTCTGAACTCTGGACAGAGGCGGCTGCCTCATAGACATTCGTACCTCATCCCAAGCCTGGAATCTGTCTGCCTCCTCCCACAGGACCTGCCACCACATCAAGGCTGATGAAGGAGGACCTGGTTTAGCAGGTAGCTGGCCCCCTGATTTAGCAGGCAGCACGGTCATGCAGATGGCTACCCTGGAAGGGTAGATGTGCCCACTCACCTTCTCCAAAAACCTGCCAGGGTCTGTCAGACGTTTAGCTGCCAACCTGTCACTCTGAGTTCCAATTGGCAGAGCCTGAGATGGAATGAATAAAATCATCCTTTCCTTCCTTTTCAGGAAGGGCTTTCATTTTGTAAAACTCAGGTCCTGAGTTAGAGGCCTTCAAGATCCCACTGAGGCCCCTCTTTCTAAGTGCTCTCTGGAGAAGGAGAGAATCCAAATTCACTGGCAAATGCTTTAAAGGACTGCATTTATATTTCTTCCCTTCTCACTGCCAGGCTAGCCTTTTTCTGGCCAGGGTGTGACGCTTTCTGTGGAACATTTTCAGAGGCAGAGCCATGACAGGCTACAAACTAGCATTCCCCAAATACCAGCATTGACATCTGGGAGTCTGCTGTGGTCCCCACCCACAACTTTTCCAGTGCTGCCACTGCTGTTGTCTCCCAATCATTTGACGTCCTTCTGGGCCCATTTTGTATAGATATTTGCTGCCCCTTGATTTTCAGAAACCTGGAGTCTTCCAAATATTACTTTATTTTTTTTCTCTCCAAACCTGCTTCCCTAATTCTTGTCTCTGAGTGACCTTCTGCATTGACTGAAGGGTTCCCTAGGTGTATGGAAGGATGATTACCTCCCCTCCACCCCCACCCCCTCCAGGTAGTGCCATGATTCCAGGGGACAGCCAGAGCCAAGACAATGATGGGGGACCCTGTGGTTGATGGTCGTGTGTCCGTCTGCCTGCCCTCTGAGACCCCCCCCTCAAAAAAACACACCATTCCTTTCTGAGGACTTCTGCTCTGCTGGGTCCTGTCTAGCAGGGTACCAGGCTCAAAATTCCAGCACCCCCAGACCATGCCATACCTGCAGACCCCCAGGGGAACATTTCTTCTAAACTCAGGGATGACCTCCTTCTTTCTTCCAGAACAGACATTTTCCTCTAGTTTCTTCTTTTCCTCACCACTGCTGAATTTTCTCAAGACACAGGGCTTTTGTTATGCAGGTGATTTCTGTGCTCTGTCCCTACCTCCTCTGAGGTAGTGGAACTCGGAAATAGCTGGCCGTCCCCCAAATTGGGAGAAGAGAGGAAAATGTGAAGTTTGTGAAAGTATTTCATCACACTGTCATGTCCAGATCACGGATGCTTTGTGTATCCTGCCTAGTCCTAGCATCTGTACTAGGTGCCAGGAATAGGGGCGTGGGTAGCCCTGGCACTGCTGGGCCCGTCGAGGAGCATCCGGAAGGGGAGACGACATATTAGTGTTACAGAGCAGCACTGTTGTCTCTGTATGAGACTAGGAGTGGGAGGGCAGAACACAGAGGAACATAAAAGAGAGGCTCTTAATCCAGATGACTGGGAGATCGGGGAATTTACTTGCACATATGGTACGGGACATAGGGGGCTCCCGATAAATCCTTGCAGAGTGAATCAATGAAGACGAGGTGGTGGTGGGAGCAGTGTTGAGAACAGTGCAATAGAAAGCTCTGTAACAGACATTTTTAACATGTCTCGTATGACCACAAATGTTCATATGTATGTTGAGATTCCAGCATTAAAGACATGCTAGTGTCATTTTGGGAAATTTGAGGAACTTTCATGAGGTGGTTATTTACAAAAGTGTGTGAAGTGTCTGGGAAATCCACAAGGAATAGTCTCGTACCCACTGTCAGTAATGGTGGGCTATGACCACCTCTTGGTGAGAAGGAGTAAGGGAGAAAGCAGTCGCTGGGATATGAGAGGAGAGGGGCTGTCTGGAGAGGACCACCTGGAAGGGAGCCCTGACCCCCAGCTAAGAGACAATAAGAGTCCAAGATCACCGAGCAGAGAGCTGGCGACTAAATAACTCAGCCTCTTTCTCCTTCCTCCTGTCTCCTATTGGGGTTCCTCATTGGTGAACCCCATTGGAAGCTAGAGGTTATGGTCATTCAGGTCAACCTCCTGGGCATGGAGCAGGGTGGAGACGCAGAGAGCGGATCGGGGATGGCACAGAGGCCAGCTCGTCACCTTCAGGAGATAGACGCTTGTCCAGAGTGGTTGCATCCATTCTGAAGGGCCCCAGAAGTCACTGAGCCCTTAGCTGGAAATGTTGTATAGGATCACAGAGTTCCTGGAAGATGGAACAGACATTGATATTTTTGCAAAAATGACTGCACGCCTTCCACTTAGTAGCTTTTATCTTTCTTCCTTGTACTTCAGGCAAATAATCTTCCAAAAGCCATTGCAGCTGCTCATACCTTCCTCCTGAAGCATCCCGATGACGAGATGATGAAGAGAAACATGGCGTATTACAAGAGCTTGCCCGACGCCGAGGACTACATTAAAGACTTGGAAACCAAGTCATATGAGGTCTATTTGGGTTTTTATACTGCTTTTAGTCACAATGTGCATTGTTAATGAACTGTATCTCAACAAATAGGTATTGGCATGTAAGGAGATCTAGTGACTTTGCATGACCTTTGATGAATATTATGATTGACTTGTTAGCATAGAGTCAATCCATCTAAGACTGAGATTTTTACGTTCCATGATTATGTTAAAGCCAATTCCAATTTTCCTTTAAAATCTATATTTTTAAGAAACGTGGTCAGTTGATTGTTCAGTTTTAAAGATGGTGGAGTATAGATGTGTCTTGGAAATCATCCAAAAGTGACCAAGAACACAAGAAACAGAACCATAAGCCTCCACTTTTATTGGAACATGGAGACATATTTTTATATACACGCAACATATGTTTTAAAATGGAAGGGGAGGGCCTCCCCGGTGGTGCAGCGGTTGAGCGCTGGGTTGCGAAGCTGCCCGCAGCCTCTGGGGCGCCGGTTCGATCCCCGGCTGCTCCCCGGCCACCAGAGGAGGGTCCCACATGGCGCGCAGACCTCTCCTGCCGCCCGCTGCTCCCCTCAGCAGTGTACTTCGGTCCTTCTGCCTGCTCTGCTCCCCGCTCTGGCTCTGGTGAATTCTCTCACCCTCCCGCCTTCTGACTGTACCCAGTGCATGTATAAACAAACAAACAAACAAACAAACAAACAAACAAATAAATAAAACATGCCTCTACCAAAAAAATAAATAAATAAAAAAAAATAAAATGGAAGGGGAATGAAGGAACTAGAAGGACTGACTTGACAGAGACTATTTAAATCTGTGCATCTGCAAAGGGGAATTCTGATGAGAATTACTGATGACAATAAAGAGGACAAATCTAACCCTTTTGAGCATTTACAATTGTCTGGGACTGTCAAGCTCACGCACGGGCAGCCTGTGTGCCCCGCGCAGCAGGGCAGGGTTGGAAAAAGGAATGTGTTGAAAGTACCTATGGGGAACCATTAGATCCCAAGGGTTTCCTGTGGTGTCCAGTCTGCACGCTTACTTTTTTACTAGTGGTAAACCCCAAATAGAGTATGTGAAGCCTCTTTTTTATGGGGGCTCTTCTATTTTCCAGGGAAGAATACCCCAGCCTTCTGCAGTGCTGGTGGGGTGACCATGCTTGTCTGCTGGTGTCTGAAGTTTGGGGTTTTCAGTCCTCAGTCTAAATCCCAGCTCTCCCCTGCCTGGTCCTGTACCCCTTAGCCTTGGTGGGTAGACTCTCTAGAGTAAACCACCAGTCTCTGGTGAAAAGTGGCTTTGGGATGTGATCCCTTGGGAGGCCAGGTAGGTGCTGGGGCCCTCTGAACCCAGGCCTCTGATGGCTCTGCTCATTCTTTTTTTATTTCCCCCTAAAGATTTATTTATTTATTTATACAAGCACTGGGTACAGTCAGAAGCGCAGGAGGGTAAGAGAACTCACCAGAGCCAGAGCGGGGAGCAGAACAGGCAGACTGATGAAGTACATTGCTGAGGGGAGCAGCGGGTGCGGCAAGAGAGATATGCACACCATGTGGGACCCTCGCTGGCGGCTGGGGATCGAACTGGCGCTGCAGAGGCTGCGGGCAGCTTTGCAGCCCAGCGCTCAACTGCTGCGCCACCAGGGAGGCCCTCTGCTCATTCTTTCAACCCTCTTTCATTTCCACGGCCAGTGTTAGCCTTGTGTAGTTCCTGAAGTACCAATGGGGCACGTAGCTCACTTTCCCTCTAGACCCTCCTCTGTGATAATTTGGTTTTCAGTCTTTCTATTTTAACTTTTACTTTAAGAGCTATTTATAAAGCTTGATTTATTTAGGCTGGCATACTTTTGAATGGGTTAGTTGGCGAAAGATTTGATAGAGCTATGGGGGCACAAGGGAAAATTTCCCTTGCCCCTCTGAGGTTCCTTTTGGGCTGGTCCAGCAAACAAATTAAATTAATTAAAATCAATCAGACAGATTAGTAGGAGAAAAAGAAAAATTTAATTATGCATGTATGGGTATCATTCACATGGCGGTGAAGTCTTACTTTTAGTCTTGCTAAAAGTTGTTGAAATCTCTTGGCTGCTGCTTGCTGCTTTCCCAGTATCCCACAGCAAGGATTTATACCTGTTTACTTTCTTCGCAGGGTTTGGGGAGAATTGCTGAGTGCATGTGATCAGTGCACTGTGCTGTGCTTAACTGCAAGTCCACTAGATCCTTCTTCCCTCCTTGGAGTCCTGGGTGTGGCAGGGCAGTCCTCCTGTGCACCTGGGGGGCTCCCTCTCTCCTGGCTTTCTTCTTGCTGCTGCTGCTGCGCTACCTCCTCTGCAGAGTCAGCTGCCGGAGCAGCTGCTCATTTCCCCAGTCTCCAGGCAAGGCCCCTTCAGTTCTCTGCCTGACTTGTTTCCAGGGAAATCCACCTTTTCTGAGATCTCAAACCTGGTGAAAATTGCAGGGTGTCTCTTAGATACCCCATTTCTAGAACAGCCAAAAAAGCAACCCCAAGTGGGAAATGCCATGCTTATTCCGGGGCTGTTCTGGTCCCCCCTCCGTTAGCAGGCTTTTGCATGGATTCCATATCTCTACTTATTTTTGTGACACTAAGCTGCTTTGACAGCCCTTGTTTTTTCTCTTTTATCTGGCTCAGTCAGCAGGGAACAGGAATTCCTTGGAGTTTCCATCAGGCACATGACCGTCCTCCCCAGTAACGAGGGTTCACCCCTGGCTCTCTTAATTTGTGCTTCGCTGTTAGGGGGTTGGGTATCCAGTACCTGCTCTCAAGCTTCTCTCTTTTCCTTGATTCAATTTAAAAAATCAGCTTTATTGAGCTATCATTTACCTATATTTTCCAACTTTAAGTGTACAGTTTGATGAATTTTGACAAATATATGCTGCTGTGGTACTAACTCCACAATCATGATGTCGACTATTTCGGTCTCCCCTAAATGTTCCCTCGTACAGTCAAGCCTTTGTGCCACGCCCTGAACCCAGGTCCACTGCTCCCATCTCTGTCACTATTGTTTTCCCTTCTCCTCTATTCAAACTTGATTTTATTATCAAACACTTGGTACTTTTTGAATTAAACCAAATAAATACACCTTTGTAAATAAGGCAGCAAAAACTAGATAGAAGCCACCTGTTGGCTACATATTTAATGAAGGGTCGGGGAGGTTTCCTTGTAATTAAGCAGGGGGAGCCTGGAGGTGGCCTGATACCATTAGGGAGGGCAGGTCTGTCCTCAGCCTGGCAGGAGCTTCATTGCCTTCTCTCACATTCTAGAGTCTGTTCATCCGGGCGGTGCGGGCTTACAACGGCGAGAACTGGAGAACGTCCATCACAGACATGGAGCTGGCCCTTCCTGACTTCTTCAAAGCCTTTTATGAGTGTCTCGCAGCCTGTGAGGGCTCCCGGGAGATCAGGGACTTCAAGGATTTCTATCTGTCCATAGCAGGTTGGTGGTGGGTGTATCTTGAAGCCGCCACTGTGGGATCCATGGGCCTTTGGATGACCAGAGTGACCTCTGAGGACCTTTTGAGCTTGAACGTGAATGGGTGACTGGGGTCGCCAGCATCTGCAGAGGCCAGGCTTTGACTTGGTTGCTGGAGAGATAGTGAGGACACTACCAAGGTCGGACCTGGAGAGACCAGTCCTGTTTCATTACAGATTCCTCAGAGACTTTGGAAAAAATAAAAATGTTCTATTTAGGTCCACCTTATTTTTGTTTAAAGGCTGTTAGATTCTGTTGCTTGCAAGCACCATAATTTATTCATCACCATCCCATTAATTGGCATTTGTTATTTCCAAGTTTGTTTGCTGTTATGAACAGTGTTCTTGTGTGCCTCTTTCTCAAGGAAATTTCTTGAGATATATATTTTTAACTTTGAAAAATTTTGCCAAATTATTTGCCCCCAAATTTGACCCTGTTTTTCTTCCACCAGTAGAATTTGAGAATCTGCCTCACCATCCTCTCAACACTCGGCATTATGAAATTTTAAGATTTTTGCCAATTTAACAGTTTAATTTAGGTAGGATTCCTTTTCTTAGTTACAAATAAGGGTTAGCATCCTTCACCATGTTTATCATTCATTTTTATAATTTTTCTTCTGTTAGCATCCTTTGGCCATTTTTATATTGGAGGAGGAGCTTTAAGGAACTTTGTATATTAAAGATTTTTGCCCTTTATTATAAATACTGCAAATATTTTTCTTTACCATTTATGATTTTTATCTTTCATGTTTATCATGAGGAGGGTGCAGCAGTAGTCTTGAGGAAAGTAACGAATACACTGCCCCCACAATTTGTGTGTGCTCTTTCAGATCATTATGTAGAAGTTCTGGAATGCAAAATACAGTGTGAAGAGAACCTCACCCCGGTTGTCGGAGGCTATCCAGTGGAGAAATTTGTGGCTACCATGTATCATTATTTGCAGTTTGCCTATTATAAGTGTAAGTGATCATCTTCTATCAGAGCTTGGACAAGAGACTCAACCCTTTTAAGACTCCGCTTCCCTGTCTATAAAATAGGAAAATAATATGTGGGGTTGCTATAAGAATTCACGATCTTGGGTGCCGTGCTCTGCATGAAAAAGCTTCATGGCCCCGTGATTCGGGGCACAGACCAGGGACCAGACTCCCTGCATTCAAATTCCAACTTCTCAGGCTCACTTTCCTTATCTGTAAAGTAGAGACAATAGTACTGACCTCCTAAGTTTGTCATGAGGATTAAATGCGTTGATAGATGTGGAATGCTTAGGGTTCTCCACTCTGGCCTAGAGCAAACTCTGTAGAGAGACTTGTTTGTTTTGTTGTTATTTCCCCTCCTCCCCATCATTGGCCTTGGTTTTCAGACTGTTAGAGAATCTTTCCAGGCGGTCCTCCCTTGGGCTGAGGTAGGAGTTTAAGGATCAGAGTTCTGAAATCAGAGCCTGTCTCTTGACTTTTCCTTATGTCCTGTAACTTTGCCAAGTGAGACTTGCTTGAGCAGCATGCCCTGGAAGTTGTTATATCCACAGGAGGATTCTGAGGACAGGACTTCTATGTCCAGTGGCAGCTGTCTGGCTAGATTCCCCAAGGCATCCTTCAAACTTGGGGTAGTTGGTCTGGGGCATACAGGGAGAGTGTCCTGGGAAGAATGGGCGACAACCTTGGCTGCCACAGCCCTCCTCCTCTCATGGGCATTTTGTTCTTTGTGGGTTCTCTCTTCTTACGACAGCCACCAACCTTTTTATTCCACCTCCTCTCCTCTCCTGGGCACACTGAAAGCCTTGCCTGATGAAGGTTTAAAAAGGAAAAAAATGAAAAAAAAAATCATTTTCATATATATGTGTACACATATACAAACACATATAATTATACAAATAAAAAATATATATATTATTTTTATTTTTTGCTGCTTATCAAGACTGAGAAGACAAGCATTTGCACCAGGTCTTCTTTTTTTTTTTATAATAATAAATTTTATTTTTATATTCCCCATACAATTGCAACCCCCCCATTCTGACCCCAATCCCTCCCCTTCCGCCCCCCCCACCCCCCAAAAAGTGTCTCTGGTTCATAGTTTTTTGTTGATTTTGATTTTCACTTTCTTATAGTTATTCATTTTCCTGGTCCCTTATTTAAGTTTCTAGATTCCTGCTATGAGTGAGACCATCCGGTATTTTTCTTTTTCTTTCTGGCTTATTTCGCTGAGCATGATCCCTTCCAGCGCCATCCATGTTGCTGCAAATTGCATGTGTTTATCTTTTTTAAATGCTGAGTAATATTCCATGGTATATATGTACCACATCTTCTTGATCCAGTCATCTATTTTTGGGCATCTGGGCTGTTTCCAAAGCTTAGCTATTGTAAACAGTGCTGCTATAAACATAGGGGTGCAGGTGCTCTTTGGAATTGATGTTTCTGTGTCCTTTGGGTAAATACCTAGGAGTGGAATTGCTGGATCATATGGAAGCTCTATGTTTAGTAGGTCCAGAAATCTCCACACAGCTCTCCATAGTGGTTGGACCAGTTTGCACTCCCACCAGCAGTGCAGGAGAGTTCCTTTTTCTCCACACCCTCGCCAACATTTGTTGTTGCTACTTTTTTTTAATATGTGCCATTCTCACTGGTGTAAGATGGTATCTCATGGTAGTTTTGATTTGCATTTCCCTGATTACAAGTGATGTTGAACATTTTTTCATATGCCTGCTGGCCATTTGCATTTCCTCTTCAGAGAAGTTTCTTTTTAGCTCTTCTGCCCATTTTTTGACTGGATTATTTTCTTTGTTGTTGTTGAGTCTCATCAGCTCTTTGCAGATTTTTGTGATCAGTCCTTTATCACTAGTGTTGTGTACAAAAATGTTCTCCCAGTTGGTGGGGTTTGCACCAGGTCTTCTTGGGTCAGGAAACTTAGCTCTCTCAGTGTTGAACCTGACCTTACCGCAGCTTGGCCTTCATTTACAGGTGCAATAAAAGGCTGATTCCTTAGCTTAGACATTTCTGACATCAACAGGTAGACACGGTGTGTTTTAAACAAGTGTCTTTCCCAATGTCTCCTTTCATGGGGGCATGGCAGAGGCTTTATGTGCCATAGTAATGCTGGCACCAGCTGATTGGTACAGGATTATTTAGTATAGAAGACAAGAGTCTAGTTCCATGTAATCTATAAGCATGCATTCATACGAGGCAACACTTCGCTCACAGCAAATTCCCAGCAAAGATTTATTAACAGCATACTAGGTAGAGGGAAGAGTTTTCTGTGATTTAGCTTTTCAAGAGCCCTGTTTTTAAAAATAAGTGGTTGATTAGTGCTTTCTTTCAAAGAGACTTCAGCAGCAAACCAAATATCTCAGAAAGGTACAGAGAAACAACCACAGCAAACCATCCATTCCTATACCCCGTCCCACTCTTAACTATTTGCTTTTATTCTGCCATAGTTGGAAGACCCCTCTCTTAATGAGAATTATGAAAAATTATGTATGTGGTTTTCAAAAAAATTATTTTGGAAATTTAAAGACATCGAGTTTAATTACCTCTAATTAGGGGGTAATTAGAGATTCCTGGGGGAATCTAGCCAGACACCTGCCACTGGACATAGAAGTCCTGTCCTCATAATCCTTCTGTGACTATAACAACTTCCAGGGCATGCTGCTCTAGTTGCCCGTCACACACAACTTCAACCATTGTCTACACTCTGCCAATCTTGAGTTTATAAATTTATAAAATTTTTTATTTTGGATGAAAGTATAAGCAAGTGTTTTAATCTCATTTTCATGAAAATCTGTGAGCCGTTCACTGGCTAGCCCTTATTGGACTTTGAAACACGGGGAAGAATCCTCAGACTCGGTCTCCTAGGCCCCTGGGCTCTGGTCTGTCACCAGAGCTTGGAAATCCCCACATGATCTGAAAATCACCCTGTGCATCAGAAACCTTGGCAAAGACTTCCAGACACTGGTAGCCCCAAACCTCTAGCTTTGCTGAATGCTAGCTTCCCAGCACATCTTGACTTTCTGGAATTATAGGTAAACCTTGTGAGTAAAACTTGCTTTGAAGTTGGATTCTTGAAAGGCTGTCCTGTTTTGAACTGGTTTTAGATTATCTATCACACTGGATTTCCTGAGGGCATGTGTTGGTCTTTACACTTGAACCTTTCTGCATCCCCAAAGGCCTTGTGAATAAGAAGTGCCCTTTAGCTGGTGTTTTAGAGTTGTCATTACAGGGAGCAGCCACTGGGTGGCACAGTTTACTCACACCCAAGCTTGGCTTAGTTGAGCCAGAGCTTTAGCAAAGGTAGTGTTCCCAGCTTGTAAGTTGGAGTGGAATGTGCCAGAATAAATACTCAGGGGCTTGTGTCTCATTCTCTCTTCCTTTTGCCCCGCCCATCTAGCTTCTTGCTCCACCCCCCCCCCTCCAAATACCAACACCTGCATAATCCCCATGCTGAAGGTACTGTTATAGGTGAGGCAACTCTGACAGAGTCTGGAGGTAGGAACCCCAGCCTCCAGAAGATGGCAAGACCAGGTTGCTTTCCAATCTCTTCCAGACCAGAGGGTCCACTATCCTCTTTGAAAATCTTCTTTGAAAAGGTTTTTTAGGTTTGGCTTAAGAGCTAAAAGTTGGGATGGGGGTTCCAAGGATCTGGACCTGGAAATTGTGGTTCCATGAGGGAATCATTTGCTGATTACACCCTTTCTGGCTCCCTCTGCCCCATGACAGTTCAGGTGTTGGGATCTGGCCTTCTCAGATTGCAGGGATGTGAGACCAGCTCAGGGCGGAGGAGACTGAGCAGCTACACAGGCAATTCTGCAAAAGCATCTGCCTCAATTCCAAAACTTTATAACTGGCCTCCAGGATGCCATGGAGACCCAGCCGATTACCTGCCTGTCCCGGGATGGTTCTGGCCAGTCACAGGCTTCCTGCAGGAGGGACTGCAGAGATGAGGCTTGTTTACATCTTTTTCTTTAGGAAGCTAATGAGAATAATTGCAGGCATGGTTTGCTGATTTCTGGTTCTTCTTTCCTTCTTGATGCCAGTGAATGACCTAAAGAACGCAGCCCCCTGTGCAGTCAGCTACCTGCTCTTTGACCCCAATGACAAGGTCATGAAGCAGAACCTGGTGTATTACCAGTTCCACAGGGACAAGTGGGGCCTCACGGATGAGCATTTCCAGCCCAGACCAGTAAGTGCAGGAATGGTGCCTCCCTTCCTCCCTTCCATGCTCACTGTCAGGAGACTGCTTTGCGCCGTAACAGAAATTTCAGAATGAAGGGAATGAAGGGAACCTTATTTTCCCCTATAATATCTTTGTCTCTTATTTTGTTTTTTAAGATTTTATTTATTTATGCATACAAGACCTGGGGTACAGGCCAGAGGTGTGGGAGGTGAGAGAATTCACCAGAGACAGTGGGGAGCAGAACAGGCAGATCTACTGAAATACACTGCTGAGGGGAGCAGTGGGTAAGTCAGGAGAGGTCTGCTGCGCCATGTGGGTCAGCTCCCTGGCCTGGGATCGAACACATCCTGCAGTGGCTGTGGATAGCTTCATAGGTTGTGTCTTAACCCCTTGAGCCAAAGATATTGGAAGGCCCAATATCTTTGTCTCTTAATACTTTATGGCTTTATTCTGATTTCTAAATCAGTTAAAATTGAGATGTAATACATATAGGATAAAAATTGCCTTTCTAGAGTACACTATTTAGTGACTTTCAGTCCATCACAGAGTTGTGTGATCAGCACCACTCTCTAATTTTGAACATTTTCTTTCCCCCTCAAGAATGCCATCCTCTCTGCCCTGCCTCTTTCAGTCCCAGCATTTAAAGCATATAAACTGTTCTCTGTTTGCATCTGAACAGGAAGCAATTCAATTCTTTAACGTGACTACACTCCAGAAAGAACTGTATGACTTTGCAAAGGAAAATATAATGGATGATGATGAGGTAAGTTTTCGTGTTTAGCACGTCTGGTTCGGAGAAAATATTACTCACGTCAGTGCAAAAATCACTGGAAGGCTGAGTCGTCCCTGAAATAAGAAACAGAAGGGGACCTTGAGAAATACAGCTTCTGTGGGTGTTTTAATGAAAGGCAGAGCCCTGGCAAGGCCCAGCAAGGCTTTCTAGGAAACCCAGCCAAAGTGTGGCTCTTCCTGATGGTGAGCATGGAACGGCGCTCCTGGGATCCAGCCCAGCAGTCACCCGCCATCCCTTGGAACTTCCTAAAATCAGAACAAATTCCATTTCTCAGTCCTAGGGGGATGCTTGCAAACCCCCATCCCAATTTTTCTATCAGATTTTTTTTTTTTGTAGGTTAGGTTCTGGCTGTCAGTCATTTTGTTGTTTTCTGGGATTTCGTGACATTCCTGGTTATTCTCACTGACTCCTTGCTTGGCCAGGTCTCCACTGGTGACGGCATGGTCATTTTGTGGTGGGGCAGCCTGGTCAAAGAAAAGCCATCATTTGGAATCGTGTTTAGAGAGAGGTGTTTGGAACAACCCCTAGATGCTTTCTAGGACGGTTGGGGGCTTGGCAGCCCTGGGAGCTGCAGCCCTGGACGCTGGCAGACAGCTGTGAGCCTGCTCTGGTCCGACCCTCCCTTTGCAGACGGAGGGCTTAGGGACAGGAAAGTTCTGTGAGCTGCTTGGCCAGACCCAGAGCCCTGAGCTCTCAGGTCTGTTCCACTATCACATTTTTTGGTGGAGCACATCAAAATAAGACATCATCATGGAATTTGTTTTCTGTGCAGACTTTGCATGATGGGCTGGACTCATGACTGGCATTCATTTAATTTACATCACGGTTCTTTATAAAATGGGGCTAATAATGGAAGACAGTGTTGGGAGAATGGAAGACAGAACTACGAGTTTGTAACTAGCTAGGGGTTGCTGCCTGCGAGGCAGCCTTGTGATTTTATCATGGGCTCTGCTGCAAGGGCCCCCGCCTAAGACCATGGAGTGTATATCACTTCTAGTTTATAAATCACTTCCACAAGCAACATAAATGTCCCAGACATAATTAGTTTGTTGGTTGTTGGCTGCGTGGTATGTAAACTTTCAGGGGTTGGGTATGGGAGGTGCTCTTTTTTTTACCAAGGGCAATTTTTCAGAGAAGGGGCGGGAGTTAGCCATCAACCACCAACACTCCTAGCAGGGGCTGGTGGCTGGGAAGTAGCTGTGGGCAAGTCACCAGCAATCCTGCTACACAGACCATGTAGGAGACCTGTTTCTCTTATCAGCATTGCATGGGGCCCTTATTAATGAGCTGACGTCATCTCTAGGTCACAGCAGCCACACCAGTGGAAGCAGTAACTCTGGGGACAGTTGTCACGGCCATGCACGTAATCCCTCTACCCTGGCGTGTTGGTCGTACATGAAATCCCTGGGGTGTATTCCCTTGTGGGTCCAGAGAACCCCTGGAGAACTGTATGTTTTTAATTTCTAATCTCAGGCCTGACATGGTGCAAGTATTTGGTGAAAATAATAAGACCATCCCCTTTGTGTCTCATCTACTTGATAGATTTTTCAATTACTTTGAAATGCGAGATTTTATGAATCTCTCTGCATTAAAACATCAAAAGTAGCAGGTAGGCTCCTGACCTCTGTGAGCAGAGGGGGTGGTCAGCATCAGTGGGTTCAACTTGTGCTCACCCTCATGCTCGGTGATGCTCTTATTCTCTGCAGCGAAGAGAATGTGTGTCTTTAACTGGCGGCCCAAGTGAGTGGTGGGAGAGAAATCAATACAGAGAAGGAATCATGAAGTGGTGTGGGCTGTCTCCCATCGAGGCTTAGGGCTGATTGCAGAAGCGGGGAGCGTGCGGGCTCTTCAGAGTGACAGCAGCACACAGGTGCCCCTGCACCTAAGAATCCCTTCTTTAAGTGGCGAGACCCTCTGTCCCCTCAGTGCTCTGTGCATACGGACCCAGGCACCCCTCCTTCTGTGGGATTACTGAGTACCTCTGTGCCAGGCTCAGGGGAAGAGTACCCCAGGTCCTGGGCCTTGAAGAGCTCACGGTCTTTAGTCAAAGCAGAAAGAGAACAAAAGAAAGTGTTCTTGTGAGATCACTGCAAATGGGAAGTGGGGGGCATGTCCAGAAGAGGGGTCACTTCACATCTCTGGGCGTTGCAGAACACTGGACTCCACCTTCATGTGGCATAAAAGCAGGGTCCCTTCCCAGGGAGAGGTCAGGGCCTGAGGGCAGCGGCGAGAGGACGTGCCAGCCCTAGCAGGCAGAGGTCAAGGACCTCTTGGAAATAGCCTCTGATCACACACTTTTCAAGCCAGGTAGTCCCTTCACACAGGTGTCCTGTTTTCTCTTTCAGGGAGAGGTTGTGGAATACGTGGACGACCTCTTGGAGGCGGAGGCGGCTGGCTAGTTCACAGAGACTGAAGAGACTCTCCCTCAATGTTGAGGAAACAAACTCTTTGCCTTCCTTCTCCCAATAGCCCAAGTGGTTGATACCTCAGAGCTTTCACTTTATTCAGTGAAGTGAAAGGAAAGCGCCCGTCTCTCACGGGTGAGCCTGCCTGCCCCATGTCCACACCTGTCTTCCCCATGTTCACAGCTGTGTTTTCCGTGTGCACACCTGCCTTCCCCATGTGCACACCTGTCTTCCCATGTGCACACCTGCCTTTCTCATGTCCACACCTGTTTTCCCATCTTCATACCTGCCCTTTCCACCATTTTGGTTGGAAGGACAGTCTCCCTTTGTTTTTTCCAGAAAAATCAGTATTATTTTTTAAATAAGAAAAAAATACTCCTAAAAGGTGATAACTGTAAAAATCTACTTTGGCCTTTCTGCTCGCCCAGATTTTAGTCTCTTCTCCCCACCCCCAGATCCAGGAAAGAGGATAGAAGACAATGGCTACACTTCTCTACATCCCACGATGGTCTGTACCTGCTTTGACTTGCACCATTGAGAGAGATACAGTGCAGGATACAGAAATGTGACTTTTACCTAACACTTTGGATGCTCAAAGTCTTACAGTGGTTGGACACTCCCATTTGGAGACTATGCTTGGTTATAAGTCTTAGAGTTGGAAATGGAAGAAGCTAGAGTGAGTCTAGTTTCATTCATTCTTTCAATAAAGACTCATTGGGCACCTACTGTGTGCTAGGCATTGACCTGGGCAATGGAGATACTCTGTAGTATAATAGGACCAATCCCCTACCCTCATAGAGCCTACATTCTACACAGAGAGACAGACAATAAATAAAGAAGAATAAATGTATATAAGGTGCCGGAGGGGAATAATTACTATGGGGAATAATAAAGCAAGGGAAAGGGTAAGGCAGTCTGGAGTTGAGGCTGCAGTTTTATGTAGGGTGTTCAGGGAAGGCCTCATCGAGAACGTGACATCGGAGCAGAGACCTTAGGGAAGCAGATGTCGAGGAAAAGCATTCCAGGCAGAAGATGCAGCATATGCAAATGTCCTGCTGTGAGAACATGCTGGTGTGGTCAGGGAGTAGCACAGCAGGCAAGGAGAGGCATGAGAAAGGGGAGAAATGGAGGAGATAAGCAGAGAGGTTCTCACATAGGGTGCACAGAGGACTTAGAGCTCACGCCCTGTCAGCTGGTGGGATGCCTTTGGCTTGCCCTCTGAGTGAGATGGGAGCTATTGGAAGATTTGAGTGGAGTTGTGCCTTGATGGACTGACTTCACAGGATCACCCTGCTGTCATATTGTGAAAAACTTGGAAGTGAGCAGGGGTGGAGGCAGGGATAGCAGTTAGGAGGCTACTGTGTAATCCCAAATGAGGAAATGCTAGCTCAGTGGTGGGTAGCAGCAATGCAGGTGGTGAGAGGTAGACAGGCTGTGGATTTATTTTTTATTTTTTTAAAGATTTATTTATTTATGCATACAAGAACTGGTATACAGGCCAGAGGTGTGTGTGTGGGGGGTGAGAGGATTCACTAGAGACAGAGTGGGGAGCAGAACAGGTGGATTGACTGAAATACACTGCTGAGGGCAACAGCGGGCGAGACAGGAGAGCTCTGCTGCACCATGTGGGTCACCTCCCTGGCCGGGGATCGAACTTGTTCTGCAGTGGCTGCGGATAGCTTCATAGGTTGCATCTTAACCTCTTGTGCCATCAGGGAGGCCTGTGGATTTATTTTGAAAACAATCGGCCCAATAGGATTTGCTGATAGATTGGATGTAGCGTGTATGAGAAAGAAAGGAACTAATGATGACCTCCAGGTTTTTGTCCTGAGTAAAGGCAATAGCAATTCACTGAAATGGAAAAGTGGGTGGGTGTGTAAGGAAGGAACTTGGTGCAAAGCAGGCACCAAATTGGGATGGAAGGTTCTATAAATAAAACTTGAGTGTTTTCTCAGGTTGAGTCTTTAACAAAGCCTGAGACAGGGATTTGAAGTCATGTGGCTTATTTGGGTGGAATTTTTAAGAAGCCTGTGTAAACCTCCATCAGTTATTGGCTGTGAGAAGTCCTTTTGAAGGAAAGTAGCTTGGCCAGCCGAGGGCGGTTCTTTTGAAAGGGCACTGTGGACCATGAGGGCAGCCAACAGACATGTGTGGGTGGGGGGCAGAGTTGTGGGGGCTGTCTCTGTGAAGGGGATCTGGGAGGAGCACCATAGCATCCCCTAGTGGATCATCACCTTGCAAAGGGTACTTAAAGCCCAGGCTGGGTGGGGTCATTGATTGTTTATATATATTAAGAAATAAGAGAAAAGTACCCAACACAGAGCCCTGGGGCTCTCTGGAAAATGAGAAACCCACCAACGAAACTGAGAAGGAGCTGCCTTTGAGGTCAGAGAAAACCACGAGAACATGGTGTTCTGGAATCTGAGCTTGTTTTCTTGATTCTAACTCTCTCCTCTAAAAAAGCACTTAGTTATTTGGGATCCTCTAGGTTAGAGGGTGAAGAGACTAGCAAAGCTTTTGGGAGAAAGGACTTTCCCCACAATGGCATAGAAAGAAATGAAAGGAGAATTTGGGGTCTTTAATATCATAGTGATTCATCAGGAATAGAAAATTCACACATTCTTGTTTTTCCAGACTTGTTTTTCTCCCTGTCTCACTATTTGACCACTAGGAACTCAGATGCATCCACCTATTCCTTCTGCACGCTCCTGCATCCTTCCACCCTTTCTCCTGAGAGCAGGTTTTCTTGTACCTGCACACGAATTCTCATGCCAGGTTCTCCTTCTAGGGCAGCCAACTCAAGACAATAACCGACCATTCTGGCTTGGGCTGGATTCGCTCACGTCAGCTTCGTCTCCACTCCCAGAGGGCGGTGTGGCTGAAGGAGCCTAGCTGGTATTATTGGTGGCTGCGCTTGTGTCCATGCACCTCCCCAGCAGGGCCCCCTCAGCCCAGCAATGAGTCAGATCCATATGGCTTCCTGCTGGGGGAGACAGCTTTGCTCACAGGATGTGCGTTCTTTCTTTCTTCACCCCACCCTCTATTCTAACAGAACAGCTTCCTTTTGAAGACAGTGGGGAAGATGGCCATAGGGCAGGACTCTAGAGCAGGGGGAGACCCTGCCCCAGACTTCCCAGGTGCTTGGAGAAGTGTGCCGAACAGCTTTGCACACCCTCCCTGTGGCTCCTGACTCTGTGGGTCTTCCCAGCTGTGTGAGAAAAGGCCAGGAGGCCACTCCAGGGACCAGGCAGGGTTGGGTGGCCCGACTCAGCCACAGAGCTTTCATTTGGTCTATTCCTCTGAGCCTCGAGTGAGCTTTTTATGGATGATGATGTACCAAGGGTAGAGTGAGGATGGTAGCGGGGGTCTTCATCCCCTCTCTGAATCTGGCTGAGAAGCACCTCCATCCCCACATGAGCAATGTCCCCTGAGGAAGAGACCTTGGTGACAGTATAACATGTCGTCGGTACTTTGTTGTAGTTGTTTTTTAAAGATTTATTATTTATGCATACAAAAACTGCGGTGTCGGCCAGAGGTGGGGTGTGTGTGTGTGAGAGGATTCACCAGAGACAGAGTGGGGAGCAGAACAGGCAGATCTACTGAAATACACTGCTGAGGGGAGCAGCGGATGAGACAGGAGAGATGTGCCATGTGGGTCTCCTCCCTGGCCAGGGATCGAACTCGTGCTTCAGTGGCTGGCGATAGCTTGATAGCACTGTCTTTAACCCCTGCGCCACCAGGGAGGCCCTGTTGACACTTTGATTGAAGGCTGTGGAGTCAAGTTTACTAAGTATTTGAATTCAAAGGAAATCAAACCAGTCTTTTTAAAAAAAGAAGGGGTGGTTCCTCCAAACTGACCGTGAAACCCCAGGCTGCATTCAACAACTGCAATCCGGCACCTCCCTGAGCATGTTATTTGGAAGAGCCTAGAAGGTTCCGGATTAAGACCTCAGAGCTGCAGCATCAGTCTAGCCTATCCTCAAAAAAAAGCAACAAACACATTTGTAAGCTTTTGTGGGAGTCTTCAAGCCCAGCTGAGGGTGCCTCACTGCCCTTTAACCCATCTGCCCAGAGCCCAGTGGTTGCTGGCCCCACCCCAGGAGGCTGCCCGCCTTGGGAGGAGGGATCTCTCCAGACTCATTGCTACTCATTGCTACCCCAGCCAGGGAGCACCCGCTTGGAAAGGTCTCAAGGCTACCCCCTGTGAAGCCATGTCCAGACATTCATGGTGAAGGGCTGAGGGAGGTTTGCATGTATACGTGCTTGTAAGTGACTCGCTGACTGGAATGTCACACATACCAACCTACTCAACATACTACTACAGTAGCCTCCTTTATCCAGTTTCACTCTCCCAGGTTTCAGTTCCCTGCAGTCAACCCTAGTGCAAAAATATTAGCTACAATAAGATACTTTGAGAGACCACATTCATAGAACTTTTGGTATAGTATATCATAATCTAGTTTAGTACTAGTTATTAATCAGCCTGTGCCAAATTGATAAACTTAAACTATATCATAGGGATGCATGTGTAGGAAAAAACAGTATTTTTAGGGTTCACTACGCTCCGTGGTTTCAGGCATCCCCTGGGGGTTCTTGGTACCTATCCCTGGTGGATTAGGGGGAGGCTCCTGTAGCTTTCTGAGTTTAGAGACTTTAAAATAACTGTCACTAACCTGTTATGCTCACCTCTGGGACCCAGGAGAACCACTGAATAAGAAGAATAAGAAGGAGATGTTGACCACAGAGGCCGCCTTAGGAAATGTTGCTATTAGATGTTCTTACTGAGAGCATTTTAAGTGCACAAAAATTTTATTGAACCCAGCTCCATGGCAATGGAATGACTTGTCAGGTTGTCGATGGGGAAGGGTTTATTATGACTGCCAGTGGGATAAACAGTGGCCGGTTTCTGCCAACATTTATGGAAATAAGGTTTTTAAGTTTTAAATGTGAGCTGTAAACCTAAGCTACTTGGGTTTAAAAAAAAATTCAATACTTAAACTGTGGGGAGAAGGTGGATGGATGCCAGAGAAAACATTCTCGTTTAATAGTGTTTGCACATGGAACTGTAACACAGTTTGTAGCGAGGCACTGAGAAAAACCCACAACTAATCCTTCATCGCAGCTGTCTGAACTCTTGATCATCTGCCATCCCCCAAACAGCGACTTCTTTTTTCTGGTGAGTCCAGGCTTGAATGACCTAGTGTGGGGAGTTTAGACTATATACAAGAGAGGGAGTAGGGAAGGAAAGGAACCTTAAATAAGCCTCAGCCAAAGGTTTTGTGCATTGGACTTCCTGTGCCCGCAGCCAGGCAAGGCCGTGCTCCAACCTATCCCTGTGGCATCTCCTTGAGAGGGATGTTACCATGATAGTCCGGCTCTGCCTTCACTGGCTCTCCCCTCCCTCAGAAAGAGTTGTCAGGAGCAGCTGGGGTTTGTGCCGCAGTGGAGTGTCTCTTTCTAGCGGACATATGAGCCACCATAGCCTAGTATCCAACCCTCCCCCAGCCCCACCCCCAAACACTGTATCTGGCTTGGGTGGCATGTTGAGTGCATGAGTGAGTTGGCTCACCAACCTCTTGGAGATGCAAGGGTAAGATCCTAGTGCCTCTCATTCCAAGAAAAAGAATAAGAAGGGATTAAACAATTTGGCCAACAGTTATGAGATGGATCCCAGACTTTTATGGCCCACTTTGGGATGGTGGTCAGTAGGCCGGACATTGCATGCCGCTGCTGAGGTCTTTTTTTAACCTTCCCATTGGGGTTAGGAGAGTGTGTATAATCTCACACTTATGGTACATTAGAACTTGAACACAAGATTTTAAAAATCACGCTAAATGCTTGATTTTTCATATTTGCTACTGTTCTCTTTCTGTTCTCCCTGGATGGGAATGTCTGGAACCACACCCAGTCATTCTAGGATGCATGTTGGGATGAGCTCTGTTTTCTCAGGTCTGTGAGATTTCTGACATTCACTTAACAGAGCAGAGCCTTCCTGAAGACTCCCAGACCACATGTGGCAAGGGTAGCTGTGTGCTGGCTGGAGCCTTTCAGGGGCCAGAGGCCCATTCCTTTCCCCAGGAAGATTCTCTTTCAGGGAGCTCATGAATCCTACTAGGAAAAACATTTGGAATCCAGTACTTGCTTTGATTCTGATGAGGTGGCGGCTGGCTGCCAACTTATGATAAGTGACAGAATATTTACTGTTTCAAATAAGGACCCAAACATCTTCAGGCATGACTGCCAACCGCTCCCCTGCTTTATGTGTGTCACTGCAGAGCAAGGGAGGAGAATGAGGGAAGAGTGGGAGGCAGGTGCAAAGAGCAAGGAACCAGCCTTTGCAAAAATAAAGACCCACGGTATGGGGAGTTCAAACATCAATTATTTGAAGGAATGGAAGACCCAGGGGTTTTGTGGATATCAGCCCAGGAATTCCAGTGGACACAGTGGGCAAGTGTGGATCGAGAAGCAGAGGGGTAGTGACTGAAAGTTTGAGTGTTGATGGATGTCTTAAGTCTGGGTCTCATGAAGTAAAGCCTTGTGCAAGTGTTGGAATATACCCAAGAGAAAGGCTGTGAGGAAAGCAGGAAGCTGCTAGCAAGAATAAGGTCTTGGAGGCCAGCCTTGAGCAGATCCCACAGGGAGCTCAGGAGCATGTATTAATTACACACATGGTGGTCCCACCTTGAGGCAAGGAGGCCTTTTGTATGCCCATGTCAGCGACTGTAGGCTGCCCTATTGGGGCAGAGGGTGGGACTAGCCCCCTGTGAATGAATTCCCATTAGGCTGAAGGCAATCTCTGGGTAGAGAAGGGCATGCTTTCACTTTATAAGCATTTTAGCAGCCAGTGTGGCAGGTACAGGATGGGTTCCTCTGTAGTAACAGGGATCTGAGCAGGCCCTAATGGTGCATGACCCTGGATGACGTGAAAGCCCTGGGCTCCGGTGTATATGGAAGCAAAACAGGACAGAATTCTGATGGGATGGTTTCTGAGCTGGACCACTCCATTTCCCCCTAAGATCTCCTTTCTAGACTGACCGGGGCAGAAGGGGCCTGACCTCTATGGTTGACCTTGTCTGGACTTCCTCCCTCATATCCCATGTAGGCAAGAGATTGCAGGGTGAGTGAGGAGGTCTAGGTCTTGAAAATCCCTGCACGCCCCAGGTCACAGAGGACAGTGGCAGCATGCTTGAGGTCAGGCAGCCATGCCTTTTCTATTGCTAAAGCTCTTGGCCGGTTTCCTGATAGCCCTCCACCATCTACTGATGGTCTCTGAGCCCTTTCCACACTCTTGTGACATTCCTGCATCGGACCCCATTTAATTACTCCTCTCAGAGTCCTTCAGAAAAGGAGGTAATCAGTGGTAGTTTTTTAGGCTAGTCCTTCTCAAACTTCACCAGGCACACCCACCCCCAGGCACCTTAAACTAGAGTCTACACAGCCTAAGCCAGCAGACTCTGTGATGGTGGTGGTGGTTGGCGGTAGGGTGCTGCTGATGTTCATTTAAAACAAGTTCCCGAGAAGTACTGGTGCTTCTGGCCCGGGGAACCACACTTTGCATAGTGAGGGCCTGTGCCTTCTGGTCTAGCGAGGCCATGGTCTCTGGCTGTGGTGAGTAGGGGAAGGCGGGGACAGGCTCCGTAGACTTGCCTGAAATCTTGCTTCAAGAGGAGCTGAGAGTTGGCTGAGAGTTGGGCTTAGAGAGGGCAGTCTTAGACACAGCAGGTATTCAGACACTATTTTCAAGATTCCTAGAGCATCACTTTTTAAAAAACATCGTGATATAACCCAGATATAAAATACAGTACATTAAGCAGCTGTTAGGGGAAATAATTATTTATTTTAAATATCTCAGAAGCTTTGTGTTAATGGATAACCCCCCTCCCAACTTTTAGGATTGTTAATTATTCACCAGTGTCTCCAAAAACATGCGTAATGACATGCAATTTAGGTTTACAGTGTTTTAATCATTCCCTTTCTATATAAATTTTTAGATCCTATAACATTAATTTAGAGGAACCCAAACCAATAAAAACTTAAATGTATTGGATTTATTTTGTAGTTCATGTCTACAAAATAATACATTTACATGTATTAATATATTTGTAAAAATTAATACATATGTATTAATATTACCTATTTTTGTGTTGGTATTAAGTGAATATTCTTGGGTTATTACACAATAATAACTGAATAACATGACCCCAATGTTGAGCTGGAGATTATTTTATATAGTTAAAAATAGAAAAGTTATCTTGTAAAAGATTAGAAAAGAATCTCACTTATAAATATATACAGTCTCTGGCTTTTATTCTGTTGTGTTTTGCTTTGGCTACAAGCAGAAGACATTTCATTCCTATTCTAGATTTCATCTGATGTACAAGTATTCCAGTTGGTACCTTCAGGCCTTCATTTTACCTAGCTATGGGGACTTAGGTCTTTATGATACTATACAGCCTTCATAACTATTTAGCCTGTTATTTTTCCAAAGCTTGCACCAAAAGGAGGTGGCAGGGTAGAAGACAGGTTGTGAAAATTCTTTCCTTCCATAGGTGAAACAAATTTTCTTATAAAGATCGGGATTTCTCTTGGGCCACACAAAAACACTTGGGAACTCATATGCTCACAACATAAATGTATTGCCTTCATCAATTTTTATCACCAAAAACTTTCTAAGAAGGTGATTCAAATGTGAAAAATATAACGTATTTTGTGTTTGTGCCAATACATAGGTGACCACTGGGATGGCATTTTTGACAGCTTCAGATGCCCCCAGAGGTGCTTGCAGCAATGCCTGCCTTCCTGCTAGACCACCTGGCCTGGGCTGCTCGTTGTCTGTGCCTCTAGCACTTCAGCTGGCCCCAAAGCTCACAGTTTCCGTTCCGATGCACAGCATGCATAAGAATGACCTAGAAGGCTGGTTAAAACACGAACATCTGGGCCCCGCCCAGCAAGCCCCAAGCTTCTTCGTGAGTCTGGCGGGGACCTAGAGAATGTGCATCTCCAGCAAGTTCACAGGTGATGTTGACACTGCTGGTCTGAGGCCCAAGCTTTGAGAGCCGTTGTCCTAAGCAATATTTGCTGATGATCTAGATCTTAGGAACTGGCTTGCTCAATAGGCTGAGTCCTGAACTCATGCCTTATTCATAGTGCTCACCATTTCCACAATAGAGTGAAGAACAGATTGGCAGAGATCATTTCATATTCCTTTTTAGTTCCTGTTTCTCGGTCAAGTAGGTACCCATACTGGACCTCCTCGTCCTTGGCTTTCTTACAGCATTTTTCTCCTCCCATGTCATTCCCTCTTAATGGAGTTCAGAGAAATGGTTAATCCTGAGAGAGGAAACCAGAACTGAATTTTGTTAGTCCTGGCAAAATTTCTAAGACATTCCTAGGCACAGACTGGTCAAGGACAAGTAGCCCACTGCTTCCGAGAGGAAATGGTGCTTACCAGTACAAAGCTAACCTTGTTTTTTAAAAACGATGGGCTGTGCCACAGAATGGAGGGAACAGAGGTGGATGTGTGTCCTGCCACTCCTCACTCCCATACCCCCAATGTAAAGTCAATCTTCAATTTCAATTTCAACAAACAATTAAAAAGAAACCTCAAAGCTCCTAGACTATATCCTGTCCTTGGCTCATCTGTCCTCAGCAACATCACAACATTAGAAGGAAATAACTCATTATTCTTTTCTATCCCACTCCCAGGAGTTAAATATCTATATCCTAAATAACACTGTTCTCATATGCTCAGTTTATCACCTCTATTTTTAAATGTTCAGGTTGCAGAGTTGGTCATTTTCTTTCTTAAAAAGGGTGGGTGGGGGGAAGGTGAAGCAAGAGGCGACTTGTGACCTCACACTGGAATCAAGGCCCAAGCACAGGTCTGGGGTTAGTGCAATGCATTACAGGGCAGCCAGCTGAGGCCCTGACCTGTGTGACGAGGCCAAGGCCTTCCTGCCCTGCCAGATGCCTCCCGAGACACTTCTCAGCCTGTAAAACAAAGACCTGAGAAAGAAAAAGATGAGTCCTCCTCCACCTGTTTCATGCGCTAGTGAATGATCAGTGTTTATCAATACTGTGTCACAGTTTACTTTCTTCCCAAGTGGCTTTGGGAGAGCACACGCCGAAGGTGGCTAGACTTTCTCCATCTCAATCTGCTGGTGGTAGTGCCGAGCCTGCCGCTGGCCGACGTTCAGCTTGTAGACGGAGCTCTTGTGCTGGCACCTGCGGTAGCCCCATACGGCCCCCACACCCGCCAGGAGCAGCAGCAGGCACAGGACAGTGATGATGGTGGCGATGATGGGGCCTCTGCTGAGGTTGGGACACTCGTCCCCGACGCACGGCTCCAGGGTTGGGAGAAGCTCCTCACCCGCACGTGGACCAGGACCTTCCTGTTCCAAGAAGTCCTCAGACAACAGGTAGGGGAAACTATCCTGGGCCTCAGGCACAGTGGTTTCCAGTGGAGTGTGGGTGGCCGCTGTGACTGTCGAGAGAATGTGGTTAGGCGTCTGCTGGGCAGTTGTTGCTGTCTCCTGGGTAGAGCTGGTGAGTTCAGAGGGCAGGGTGACCCTGGGAGACTCGTCTGTGGCAAATCTCCAAGGAACAGTTGATTGGTAGCTGGTCAAGTCACCATCCCCCTTACTGGGGACCTCAGTTTCCGACCCATTCATGGGAGTGAGAGCCAAAGCTTCTACATCTAGTGTCTGAGACGGAAGAAGTGCATCATGGGTCATGTCTTCACTTGGTGCGAGGGTGGTGCTCCTGGGCTTCTTCACTTTCACCAGAATGGGCTGATTGGGAGTAACCAAAGTACTTTCTTCCAGTCTTACTGACCCATCTCCCTTGTCCTCACCATCCTCCTCTTCGGCTTCTATCTTCCTCCAAATTCCATCGGTCACAGGGTAGCCATCTAGCCAGGACTCGTCGCTGCTGCTCACCATTGAGTCCCCTGTCTTGCTGTCGTTTCTGCCCACTAAGGGCCCCGATGGGCTGTTGGTGTGGCTGTACATCACCTTGGTCTCAGGCTCACCTGGGGCTAGTGTGATGCCGCTGTGGTTGTCTCCAGCAGAAAACTGCTTTTTGGTGTCATCATCTGTCTCCTTTTCAAACTCAGACTTGTGGAAAGTCTCAGCAGGAAACCAGAACAAGTACTTCTGGTTGAGCCAAGATCCGGGGGGATCTGTGGGGACACTGCTTCCAGCACTGGGCAAGCCTGTAGTCGGCACAATGGCTGTATCCCAGGATGTGTTATCTCCCCCCACAGAAATGGAGACCAGACGGTCCTGTTTTGGGGCCTCCTCAGAAGCCTCTCCCTGTCCCCTGTCCTCCTCCACCTCTGTCCGGGAGTCCTCCATGAGCTCCCTGAATGACACAGATCTGTCATCAGGAAAATTATCCTCATAGTCTATGTGTGCCTCAGCCTCATCTGGAAGGAAAGAAGAAAAAGCCTCATTAGATCCAAGGTCACAGAGCCAGTGTAGAACACATACAAGGGGGATAAAATGTCCAAAGACAGGAGGAGATGAAATAAGGCTGTCATTCTCAGATGATAGGACTGTGTCGTGAATAAGTCCAAGGAATCTACATAGAACCATTACAATTTATATGTGAATTTAGAAGAGGAAAGGGGGGGAAAGAGGGGGAGGACATGGGGAAAGGGGTGCATTTATCAAGGACACTGGATCTACAGTCAATAGAAAACACTGTGTTTCTAGACACCAGCAATAAACAGGAAAGGGAGCAATCTCAAGAGACGCCATTTGCCATAAAAAAATATAAAAAATTGGGCCTCCCCGGGGGCGCAGCGGTTGAGCACTGGGTTGCGAAGCTGCCCGCAGCCTCTGCAGCGCTGGTTCGATTTCCGGCTGCTCCCCGGCCACCGGAGGAGGGTCCCATATGGCGCGCAGACCTCTCCTGCCGCCCGCCGCTCCCCTCAGCAGTGTACTTCGGTCCTTCTGCCTGCTCTGCTCCCCGCTCTGGCTCTGGTGAATTCTCTCACCCTCCCACGCTTCTGACTGTACCCAGTGCTTGTATAAATAAATAAATAAATCTTAAAATATGTATATATATAAAATTAAATGCTTTGGAATAAATCTAACAAAAGATGTGCAAGGTCTCTACATGGAATGGTACAAAACATTGCTGAAGAAAATTAAAGGAGACCTAAATAAAGGAAGGGAACTACCATGTTTGTGTAATGGCAGGTTTAAATTTGTCAATTCTGTCCAGATTGACCATTACAGCTTGAATACATTCCTAAAAAAATTTCAGCAAGAGACATAGCAGATGCTAAAATTTATGGAAATACAAAAGGCCAAGAATAGATCATCTTGAGAAAAGAAAATAGAGCTGGGGGATGCACATTACAAGAGTTCAAGATTTACTGCAAACTGGAGTGCTTTTTAGGACTGTGGTACTGGCACAAGGACAGCTAAATGGATTACATGAGCAGGAAGAACTCCTGTTCATCAAAAGCCATAATGAAAGGAATTAAAATGCAAGCCCAAGGTTGAAGGTATTTGCAACACCTATCACCTCCAAAGCGTTTGTATCCAGAATTTATGAAGGACACCTGCAAATTAGTAATAAATAGGCAGAGAAGCCACAGAAATTTGGCAAGATAGTTGAATTGGTACACAAAAATGGATATTAAAATAATGGTCAAACACATGTATAGATGCTCAATCTCATTAGCAATGGGGAAATGCTAACAGCAGTCATAATGAGGTACCATTAGATTGCACCAGAATGGCGAAAATCAAACAGATTGACATCTAGCATGAACAAGCATGTGCAGCACTGCTGGTGGGAGTGTGAATGGGAACAACCGCTATGGAAAACTAACTGGGCGTTGCTACTAAAACCGAACATATGCAAGCTTCCTGGCACAGCAATCCCATCCCTAAATATATACACAACAGTAATGTGTGCACATGGGCACCAAATGACAGGCAGGAGAATGTTCGTGATAACTCCAAACTGGAAACAATTCAAAAGTCTATTAACTGCAGAACTGAGCCATAAAGTGTTGTTTATTATTCAGTGAAAATCTGCACATCAATGGGGATGTACCAACCGCAGCTTCCCACATGGCATAGATGAGCTTCACAGCCATGCTATTGAGCAAAAGAAGCCAGGCACAAAAGAGCACACTCTGTGATGCTACTTCTATGAAATTCAAAAACAAGCAAAAGTCAGGATGAGGGTGATACATGGGTAGGAGGGAAGGGATGGTGACAGCTGGAGCACAACAGGGTTTTGGGGGGACTGGCAAGGTTCTACCTCTTGACCTGTGTGATCACAAATTTTTTTTTTTTATAATTTCTTGACCTGTTGTTTTCTGATTCGTACATATAATTAAGTAAAAACGTATCCTTGAAAACACCAAGTTGGCTCTTTCTAAGACTCCTGAGCCTTTGATGCTGTGATGTACTCTGAGTCCAGCTGAGTAAGAAGGAACTGAGTTCTGTGAGCAGTGCTAGAAAATCATCAAACTTGAGATGGGGGCATGAGAACCCCTGATTTATGGCTGGTTAATCAGGAGTGAGGGAGGCCCAGAACTGGAGTAGTGGCAGTCCGTGGGACTAAGCCTTTGATCTGGGAGCTCTGCACTAACTCCAGGAAGTTAGCATTAGAACTGATTTGAATGTAGGACACCTACGTTTGGTGTGAGATGTGTTCTATGGGTAGAAAGATGCTCTCTCTCCCTTTCATGAGCCCCACCTCCCCAGACTTCACCTTGCAACCTAGAAAGCACAAAGATCTCCAGAACCAAGGTGTGGATGGAATGCTGAGGTGTCTTGTGGTGCATTCCCATATGCTTTCTGCAATGGAAGGTGTCTTACAACATAATTGAACTAGGGAGTATTTCTTTGTTGCCTCATTGCCACTCAAGACACCAAACCACCAGCAGTCCACAGATAGTTCTGTTCTATACAACGGAACTTTTCTGATTTCTGGTTGTTGCGTAAACTCTGCAACTGCATTCGTTTCCTTTCAGGTCATCAACTGTAGCTTATTGCCAGTTGTGTGTAAATAAGTTTGTTTGCCTTGAACTCAGCCAGCGTGATGAAAGGAAGCAACATTTGCAGTCTTGTGAAAATCTGTGCTCTGTGATGAGACAGCTGGTGGTGAATGGGTGTGCTCCCTCATTGTTCTCACAGCCCATCATCTTGTAACCCCCAGCAGATGCCAAGACTGATATGGTCGTGGGTCACTACAGTTCTATCCAAATAGCCAAGAGCTAGAAGGCAGGGGTGTGTGAGTGCAGGGGTACACAAAAGGTTCTAGCACTTCTGAGTATTTGTTGCCTTGACATGTTCCTATAAACCGATGTCCTAGCTTCTTCCCTGTGTCTTCTCACCACACCACAATTTTTATCTCTGTCAGGTCCAGGTCTATGTGCTTCTTTGTTCTTGCTCCTGACTGCCCTTCCCTTTGCTCTGCGTTCTCCTTCTGCCTCATCACTTACATTTCAGGCCACCTGTGCATGTATCGGGGCCATAAGCAAAAAGCATCTTATCATCAGGGTAGACTATCCGCCACACTTGAAAATATCTAAGTGTTCCAGTCAAAACTGCATCACATCATATTTTCAGTCCTCTATGCCTTCAAAATGAGGAAACTCCACAATGAAAAAAATGCAATAAAAAAACCACAACCAGACTTATTAAATATGAATTTTTCAACTGAGGAATCTAAAGTGCATTTAGGAGGAGATTTTTCCAACAGCAGCCTGTCACAGAAGAAATATATTTTAACAAATTTCAAAAACTAGTTACCAAGAGGAGAAACAGAAGATTTTGGAGCAGAGCAGAGAAGGGCAGTTCCTAACACACACCTTCACTTCAAAAATTATACTGGAGTGACAACAGATCTCAGAAAGATGCAAAGTGGTGGAGAGAAACAAACAAATAACCAGCAGGGCTAATTCCTCTTGATGGAATCCAAAATGCTAGAACTTCACATTGTATAGCTCACATACACCTTGACTTCACATCATTTCTTTCTTTTTTTAAAGATTTATATATGTATGCATACAAGAATGGGGTTACAGGCCAGAGGTGTGGGGGGTGAGAGGATTCATCAGAGACAGAGTGGGGAACAGAACAGGCAGACTGACTGAAACACACTGCTGAGGGGAGCAGCAGGTGAGTCAGGAGAGGTCTGCTGCGCCATGTGGGTAGCTCCCTGACCAGGGATCGAACTCATGCTGCAGTGGCTGTGGTTAGCTTCATAGGTTGTGTCTTAACCCCTTGCGCCACCAGGGAGCCCGACTTCACATCATTTCTTTTTTTTCTTTCTTTCTTTCTTTTTTTTTTTTTGTGGGACTCTCACCGGTGGCCTGGGAACGAACCGGCGCTGCAGAGGCTGTGGGCAGCCTCGCAGCCCAGGGCTCAACCACTGCGCAACCAGGGGAGGCCCGACTTCACATCATTTCTAAAGAGAAAGCAGAGTCTAGATATTTTTAAAGCAACAAAAGTAAAAGTACACACCACTTCAGCTACTGTTCCCTTTTTTTGATGAATGGAAGATACATGTAAAAAGCAAAGAACCTAATTAGGGACAAATAAGTAACAGAGAGAATTCTTTAAACAGAAATACCCAGAGAAGTTGAAAGTAAAAGAAAGAAAAAATATTATGAAAAGACTAACAAGCAAATAAAACTTCAAAGAAAAACATTACTAGTGATAAAGAGGGAACTTCCTCATAAAGATAAATGTTGCATTTCACCAGAAAGATATTAAATTATAAATTCAAGACTCAAGGCATGAATCTAAAATAGATGAACTAAAAGGAAAAAATAGATAAATCCACGGTCATAAAGAAATGTTTCAAATACCTATGTCATTAATTAGAACAAGTAGACAACATGGTAAGGATCAAAATCTGAACATGGTTAATCGATTTGATGTATTTGACATATATAGATCACATCCAACAACTGCAAAAATAACCATTCTTTTGAAGTACATATAGAATACTTTTACAAAAGAAATAAAAGAAATGCCGACAAATTTTAGAGAATTGAATCATACATGTTTTCAAGTCATAGTGAAAATTCCCACAGTATGGAAATTAATCCAAAAAATTCTAAATAAGTCATGGGCCAAAGGAGAAATTACAGCATAACTGACAGAATGATAATGACAATGAAAATATACTACATCAAAACTTGAGGTAAGCAGCAAAGAAAAAAGAATGAATTACAGCTTCATGGAACAACATGGACATGTCTCACAGATGTAACATTGGGCAAAGGAAGCCATATAGAAGAGTAATGCTCTCTGTGTCCACTGAAATAAAATTAAAGCAGGGAAAGTGCATCCATAGTTTGAGAAGTCTGGATAAAGTTTCTACTTCTGGATTCAAGGCCTAGACGGGAATACTAGGATGCTGGAGCTGTCTTACTTTTTGATCTGGCTG